CAATAAGTTCCCATTACAAAATTTTAGATATGTGCTCAAGCAGAAAATTTTCAGTTCACCGACATCATAAAGATCATACTTTAGAACAGGATCATTTTAAAACTGCATGCAAAAGGAAGCATCAAACCATAATCAGAACTCTTAAGTGCTCTGTCATTTGTGTAGACTGCTGTTGCTCTTGACTTTACTTTAAATAAAGATGCCTTGCTACTTTGCAATCTGTTTATTTCAGGTCTTTGACTATAAGGTCAAGAAACTGAAAACATTCCACCCAATACCCAACCATTGAAAACAATAAAACGAGATTTTTATGAAATATCAATATTTGCTGAGTACAGAAACACTGAATTATTGTTTTAGTAATAAATTTATCATGTAAGACTCTACTGTATTCAGAAAAAACAACTTATGAAAAATACAAATGCCTCAAATTTAACTTTAGGTGTATTACTTCTTAGAGCAAGTGTGCATATTCTTTGCACCTGTAATTCTAAAATGAGAAGTTATCTTAGAGAACATAAAACTTTTTGATATAATACAGGTGATTTTCAACTTGTGATGTGGTTACATCTCAATAACTCAATCAAAAGTTCAAAACTTTGTGAATAAAAACTGGACTTCAAGTGCATAACCTACTGAACATCACAGGGTAGCGATACAGGACACTGAAGAGCACTGTTCTTCTCATGGCTGACTGGCAGCTACCGATTACTGCAACTGCCCAGCATTGCTACAGAATGCTGAATCATATATTATGGATACAGTCAAAATTAACACAGGCAGCTTGGAAAATGTCTGTAAAACTGGCAGTTTCCCTTGGGGACTTTGAAAGTGCACCACCTGTGGCCTTCAGGCTGAAGTATGGGTCAGGACCTGTGCATACTTGTAGACAACACCTAGCAGCTGTGGAAGAATATGCAGAGGAAGAAGATGATGGTGAAGAGCATGTAAAATTCTTAAGTATAACTGGAAAGTGACCTGCCTCCTCGAAGTGGTAGAAAGATTCCACAGGACAAAATGGGAAAGTAGTTGATAAACAAGATGACAATGAGAAGAACAAATCTCCTAGTTAGGATTTCTAGCGCTGAGACAAAACACCATGGCCAAAACCAAATGTTTGGGGAAGAAGTATATTTCATCTAATTGCTTGTAGTCTATCATCCAGGGAAGCTGAAGAACGAACTCAAGTCAGAACCTGGAGGCAGGAGCTGAAGCAGAGGTATGGAGGGGTGCTACTTACTGGCTTGCTTCCTGTGGCTGGCTCAGCCTGCTTTTTTATAGAACCCAGGATCATCTGCCCACAGTCGGCCCGGCCCTCAATGGGCTAGGGTCTACCACACCAATCTTTTTTTTTTAAAATTACAGATTTTAGGATTTATTTGCTTATGCATTTCTTTACATTTATATACTTATTCATATTACCTGTGGACTGGAGAGGGAGGGGGAGAGGAGTGGGGGGAGGGGGAGAAGGGTGGGAGGAGGGGGAGAAGGGTTACCACACCAATCTTAAATCAACAAAATGCATCACAGGCCTTCCCACAGGTCAGTTTGGGCATTTTCTCAATTGAGATTCCCTCTTCTAAAATGACTTAATAAATAGCTTATGTCAAGTTGACAAAAGCCAACCTGTACAAGGAGAAAAGCATAGCTCCAATGAAGAACTCCATACAAGATACAACTTGCAGAAAATTACAAATGTAGAAAATTCATACCAGCATGGCAAAGACCTAAAACTATAAAAACCAAGATCCTTAAAAAAGAAAAGAAACAAAAATCTTCCCAAAATCTTCTAGTTCTGTGAAAATACTAAAGTAATATTACAAGGAAGTATAGCAAAAAGTGGTTCTCTTTCCAAAGTAGAAGCCAAGTTCATCAATTATGAGAAGAATTGATTCCAGATGACTGACCAGGAGGCTATCCAAGCTCTCTGACAGTGGAGGAAGTCTCTTTAAGACAACGGTTTAAGCAGCTTGAAATATTCCTTCTTACCTCATTTCCGTAGCAAATGCTATCTGGCTTCTCCATGTTTGACAAATGATGCTCACATTCCATCACCAATTATGTGTTTTCTAAAATGGCTGTTTAATATTTAAGGGTGGAACTCTACCCTTCACTTGGCTTTAATTATGTATGGTCTGTTTTGATAGGATGCAGTACTAGTGGTGGTCAGACAAAGACAAACGGTGGAATAAATAGTATCATAATAAAGAAAAAGTAGATTTCAGTGAATTCGTACTGCATTTGTACAAAATTTGTGAAAGAAGTTAGAGTAAATCGGTAATCATCTCTAATTGCAGTATGGTTTGTTATTTTGCTTTATGAAAACATTAGCTTACAATAGCTGGCCAAAACCTAGGGACTATTAACATGTAACCAAATTTTAACAGCAAAAAATTTTAAAATGTACTGAAGTAAGTTTTACAAAGGTTTATGATTGAAGTTTAAACATATGTTACTTGCCAAATATTAACATATTAGAACTTTGACAGGTATCAATTTCAAGACCCTAATATAGCTCTTTCCTTTATCATACATAGTAGTATATGATAAACAATGTTATATAATTCAACAAATAAAAATTCATGTTGCTCATAGAATTTATCTGGAAACAGACTTTGGAGAATATTAATAATATATGGTTCTGTTTATTATACTAGTTTTGTATAAAACACTTCAAGTATAGCCGTGTTTTACTATACAGTAAAAAAATGCACATTTATAAAATATATTAACTTAATTATTTGTATCTTCTTAGAAAACATTCTCACATGCCCCAGGATAGGATGATTATAAACTAATTTCTATAACATGTACATTACAAAGTTATTAGTATTTCGTTTATCAAATTATAATATAGCATAAAAAGTTTGCTCAGTTCAGGAAAGTTAATTGCTCCAGGCAATCATTTTCCCTTTTAGTTAATCGAATGGCAATACGATGAACTTTTCCTCCTTCCAGTGAAGCCTAAAATTTCAAGAAGGATGACTTTTACATGAAGCCTTCCCAGACAACCCTTAGCCTTTGGTGATCTCCCTTTACTTTCATTTTTTTTAGCTCTTATTCTGTACTTTTCTATGTTCTGATCAATATATCTTATCTGCAATTAAATTCCTCAGAACCGTTTCTATTGGTGTTTTGTTTTTATTTCAGCTACTAGTTACTGACATTTGGACCCAGGGACTTATGCTTCTAGTGCAAGCTAGGTAGGTGCTCTGTCCCGAGCAACACCAACAGACCTGGAACCTGTTTCTAATCTAATCTCTTCAATTCCACCACAGTGGTGGACACTGGGTAGAATCTAGTAAATAAAAGCTTAATAAAAGTCTATGAAATTTTTTTAAAAAAGAAAAAGCAAGCAAAACCAAACTTCATTGCAGGGTTCAGTGATCAAACAGCACTTGGAAAACACAATACCATTTTATCAGGGGATTCTGACTGTTCGTGTGAAAGCTCTCAGATACATGGTAACTCTCTGGCCATATTTCCATGGAATTCTTTTCCTTTAGATCTAATAGTAATTCAAATAAATCAGAGTCGAATTCACCAAGACCTTTCCCAAACAGAAACCACCTCTAAATTTAAAATCTCGTGCACAACAGATAATTCACACTGAGGTAGAAAACTATTCTTCCCTGGTATTTGACTTTAAACACAAGAGTATCTCAAACACAAAAGCAATCCATACAAAGCATTTTACCTAAAACTATCAGAAAATTGGCAGTGTTAAACTGCCAGATTTAAAACTGGCAGCTTCACTAGCCGAAGTTACCTAATCACGAATGGCATCTACATCCTTTTTAAAGTTCCTTAGCTTAAAAGGGTTACCGAAAACTAAATTTAGCCTTCTCATCATTGTGCTTCTTTCTCACCACTTCGTTTTAGATAAGAAACCTGAAATGGCTTAAAACTGTCAGAATGGAGGAACGTGAAATAAAGGAACCCATCTTTTGTTGTCAGCCCACAGAAGTGCCTCACAATTAAAATTATACATCATTTCAAACTGAGCTCACTTTCGGAAAGGGTCAACAGGAACTGTAAATTTTCTCAGCCATCTACCTTTTAAAAAGCAGTCTCGCACCTCAAAATAATATTCTTGTCAAAACACCTTGTAACTTTAGAGCCTCATCTAATCATGGTATCCAGACTCTCACTCCGGGTGTCTCATGCCAAAGTTCTTGGGAAGTGACTATTTCTGACTCTAGCCTACTTTACGAAGAACGAAAAGATCACAACCATCCATATTTTTATTAGGAGCATCTTAAGTCTCGTCAACACATTTTTAAATGCAGAAGTGAGTCATTCTGCATGCAGAGTACTTTGTAGAACGTGTTCTCCCTATTGTCAATCATCTACTATGTCTACATCTCAAGTTTGATGGTACTTAGGCTGTCAAATAGAACATGTTACTAGTGTTGTCTTATTATCATTATTATTATGATGATTTAACATAATATCTGCCTAGTCTAACATGCTAGGAGTCCGGAGCTAGGCATATGGTTTGCAGAAGCTGACTGCACACAAGTATAAAGAATACTGAAAATTAAGGCACCACTCAAGCTATCTGGTCAATTCTTCAGTCATGAAGCAACAGCAATGTGGAGGATGGGCTCTTGACAAGCCTGAGGTCAGGTCAGACTGTCTCCTGAGACTAAGAGTTAGCCACAGTTAGAGCAAGGAGAAATGGGTGAATAGGGCACTAGGAGAATCTGTCTGGAAATCAGAGAGCAGGGTGCATGACTGTACTTCGAATCATCAGCATCTAAGAAACACTGCCAGGCCTTAATCACCTACACTTTTTTTTTCCTCTGGAAGCCAGGGTCGAGATCAGAAAGTGGTGCCTTTGAGAAGGAAAACTATCTGGAAGAAATTACCCGCGAGCAGACGCAGGAAGGGTGTCGGAAGCTTCTGAATGAGAAAGCAGAGCTTCCCTGACCTGCTGGGGCCCCAGATACCCTGAGACCAGAAAACAGCTCCAGCACCTGGCGAGTGCCACTACTCACCCCTACTTTCCTAAGGTCTCCTTGTCTCCCGGCACCACACAGCCCGGCAGAGGGGAAAACTTTCCCCCTCCCCCGCCGCTGAGGGTGGGATCCACCGGCGAGAGGAGGCGGCGTCGCAGCTGTCCAAGCAGGGCCAGAAAAGCGCTGGGTGCATGAGAAGCAGCCTGGTGCTTGTGCCTCTGGCGGCCACCAACTTCACCACCATCGACTCGGAGGGCCAGGAAGAAGCAAAGGCGGCAGGCCTTCGCCCAGCGGACCGAACTCTCCCCGGATACTAGGCCTGAGCTTCTGGCAAGACCGTCTGCCCTGGTCACCTCAACAACAGGACCCCCAGGCTTAATTCCAATTTCTTGGCCCCCGCGACCACAGAACAGTGCCTGCTCCCTCTTGGGGCCACGGTAGCAGCTGCATCCTCGTGCTCCTCTTCCTCTGGCGCTGCTGCCTACACACACAGCCCAGGCGCACTTACCACCGCGGAGCCTGAATCGCCGTTTCTTAGCAACCGCGCGCATGCGCCCCACCCCGCCGGGGACCACTGGTGCGGCTGTCTGATCCTTGGACCAGTTGGTTCTCGACCTAGAAAAAGTGAGCAAAACCCCACTTCTTAGGTAGGCCCTAATGTCAAGGTCAGAAATGGTGAAGTCCAGGATGTTCTGAAATGGCGAGGCTTGGAGACTTAGGATAAGATCCGCTACTGTATTGGCATCTGAGCTATGGGGAATGTTTTGTTTTGTTTTTGTTTTAATTTGTTTTCCTGCAGTCTTTTCTCGGACTTTTACTAGAGTGATCTTTATAAAACTTCCATCTCTCACTTGCCTCTGATTAGGAGAATGGGTTTTGGCAATACAACCAAATTTGAATTTCTGCTCTTTTCCTCAGGCTAGATAACTAACCTCTCTAAATCTGTTTCTTCATCTGTAAAATGAGAAATATGGTACCCACTGAGTACTTACAAGACTGAAGAAAGAAAGTATGTACAGGGCTTAACAGACATAACCCACTGTGACAAGAGTAAACACTCAGTAAAAAGGAGCTGTTTGGCAATGGCTCATCACTGTATACAATACAAGACAAAACACACACTGGTTGAACATTCCAGCTTAACAAAGTCCTCCAAGTGTACTCTGATTTAATTCTGATGCCAGCCCTTAGTCGCCCAGCTTTAGACTGGTTTCGCAGTTCCTCAGATTGAAATATATAAAAGGACCATGTACATTTTCTGTGTTCATCTGGAAAATAAATCAATGTGAACCCATAAACTAATGAGCATCCAGTGATCGTTCCCAAACTACATGATAATGTTAAGATTTAAATATTAAGAACTGACATGTAGCCGGGCGGTGGTGGCGCACGCCTTTAATCCCAGCACTCGGGAGGCAGAGGCAGGCAGATCTTTGTGAGTTCGAGACCAGCCTGGTCTACAGAGCTAGTTCCAGGACAGGCTCCAAAACCACAGAGAAACCCTGTCTCGAAAAACCAAAAAAAAAAAAAAAGAAAGAAAGAAAGAACTGACATGTAAGCAGTGGCTATGCAAACAACATTTTTGTGTCATTTTCTAAGGGCTATTCATCTTATTAAAGTCAGACTTAAAATTTCTGAAATGTGTAATTATAAGATGAAACCAGGTAATTGATTCTGAACATAACACAATGTATAAACAACACATGCATATTTACAAAATGCACTCTGCTAAACGACAATGTAATTAAATATTTGAACATTTTAGAAAGAATAAAAAAATAGCTATGCCATATTCTAAGAACTTTACAAATTACCTGATAGCCAGGAAATATTAAGGAAAGGTGAGTATTTTCACTGGGGTTTAAACACTAAATTGTATTCTTTTGTCACATGATATATCTGCTTCACTATACTGCTAAAGAAATAACTCCTATCAACAAACAGGCTTGTCTACACAAATAATGTGAAGAAAGAAGGCTATTTTACTGAGGAAACACAAAAAAGTACATGCAGATAGGTAGCCTTCAAGGCACTGTAAATTTAAGATGAGATTCTGCAGAATTTACATATTAAGTTCACTTGACATTTGAGGTAGATGTTTGCTTAACTAATTGACTTACTCTAAAAGAGATATTAAATCATCTCCAGACTGATAAAATACATATTGTGGAAAGGTTGCACCTTGAGATGGGGTCCTATAGTAACTTTGAAGAAAGATATGTGTTTACATTTCAAGGGTAACTATACTAGAGACTGGGAGTTTGTGATCCCTGGAAACCTTTATCCACATTTCAAAAGGTAGAGAAATTATAAAGGTCCATTATATCCATTAATGAGATACTCTACAAAACTAAGAGGTAATAGTTATCTTTCTCTTTTATTCACCTTTACAATTACAAATAAATGACTTTTTTTATAGATAAGCCCTGTGTTGACACAGTAGATGTACATAGTAGACCAAGTAGACATTATTCATAAACATATAAATTCATGCTGGATATGCAATTGTTCTGCATATTGACAGGTGACTGAGATTTTCAAAACACATAAGAATTCAAAGCCGGCAGAAGAGGGCACCAGACCTCATTACAGATGGTTGTGAGCCACCATGTGGTTGCTGGGAATTGAACTCAGGACCTTTGGAAGAGCAGGCATCTCTCCAGCTTTTCCTCTGCTGCCGCCAAGGTGCTCGGCTCTTCCGAGGAAGCTAAGGCCGCGTTGGGGTGAGGCCCTCACTTCATCCGGCGACTAGCACCATGCCGGCAGTCCGCAACATGGCCTCTGTCTCTGAGCTCGCCTGCATCTACTCCGCCCTCATCCTCCACGACGACAAGGTGACGGTCACAGAGGATAAGATCAATGCCCTCATTAAAGCAGCTGGTGTCAATGTTGAACCTTTCTGGCCTGGCTTGTTTGCAAAGGCCCTGGCCAATGTCAACATTGGGAGCCTCATCTGCAATGTAGGGGCTGGTGGGCCTGCTTCAGCAGCCGGAGCCGCACCAGCAGGTGGTCCTGCCCCCTCCACCGCTGCTGCCCCAGCTGAGGAGAAGAAAGTGGAAGCAAAGAAGGAAGAATCCGAGGAGTCTGATGACGACATGGGCTTTGGTCTTTTCGACTAGGCGTTTTGATACCATGGCTAATAAAAGGATGAATCTGTAAAAAAAAAAAAAAAAAAAAAGAGAGAGAGAGAGAGAATTCAAAGCCGGGCAGTGGTGGTGCACTCGGAAGGCAGAGACAGGCAGATCTTTGGTGAGTTGTGAGTTCAAGGCCAGCCTTGTCTACAAAGTGAGTTCTAGGACAGGTTCCAAAGTTACAGAGAAACCTGACTCAAAAAAGAATTCCATGCAATGGAAAAAGGATGTGAAAGTAAACAATGCTGTCAGGGTAAAGCAGAGGAGTTTATTACTTTTATATTGCTGTAATAAAACACCATAACCAAGACAATTTGGAGGGAGGGATGAGTTTATTTTGGGAATTCTGTTCCAGGGATTTGGAGTCTATGATGTAGGAGAAGCATGGCAGCAAGCTGCAGACATGGCTGCTGGAGTAACAAGCTGACAGTTCACATTCTGAACCACAATCGGGAAGCAGAGAAAGAGTAAAATCGGAACAGAGTCTTTAAATTCTCAAAGCTTGCCTCCAGTTGACAAACTTCCTCCAAAAAGACTACAGCTCCTAAATTTCCCCAAACAGCATCACCATACATGAACAAACAGGAACATTCTCACTCAAACCACCACAGAGATTTTGACTAAAACATATTCTGTCTATATTATGATCAGAACAGAATAATTGTGCAATAGAGTTGAGTACAGACAAGCTAGATTTGAAACAGATTGTGTAATGTCTGTGTGCCATATTAAAGATTTTGGAAAATTTTCTCTATCTGAGGGATAATTATAGTTTTAAAGAAAAAAATCATGCTACTCATTTTAAAATGGTAAAAAAGCAACAACAAAAGAGAATTTATTCAAAAAGGCCTGCTTCTGTGAAAGATTCCAGTCAGGCAGAGAAAATGGGCTCATTTCATCGTAGACAAAGGAGTATATATAACCAAGAAGCAAGGTGGAGGTGAGTGGAAGGAAAATGTCCTAAAATATTTAGCCTCCTTTCACATTGGCACTGACTACATACAGCTAAATCACCCAGCCGGGTTCCTGATGATTGTCTCATCCAGCCTCTCAAAATTCTTACATTATTCATTCCCCTTTCTGTAGAGATGCAATATTATGAAAAATATCTCTTACATTATAAGAGACTGGAACTTTTGCTGGACCTCACAGCCAAAGTTAATAATACACCTTATATGTTATTTAAGAGTTAAGACTGATAGTCTACTGTGTACTCAAACTGTTTAACTTGCCTTTAAGAGAACAATGTCACACCTTTACTTGCCTTAGAATTCCATGTAATCTCTATTTACAACCTAAGATAATGTGTAACTACAGTCTGAAATTATGTACTCTTCCATGCCCCTGGCCCAAAGTAATGCAGATATATCGTTTTCTGAAAGAAAAAAAAAAGAGAGAGAGAAGTTGAAAGCAATTTCCTAGGTTTACCATAAAGGTTGAGAACAACCATTTGTGAATATTGGTCGATAAACAAGGATGTTTATTGTCTGTGTTATTTGGGATCAGTGGGATCCAGTGACTTAATCCCGTGTAAAACTCTGTTAGAGAGTTCTGCAATATATCTCATTCTTTCCCCATTTGATACTTGGCGTGCTGTTCAATAAAGACATAGGAACAGACACCACTCATAAAAACAGATGCATACAGCTCATCCAACAGTCACAGAGACACCCCATGTAGACACACACAGGGACGGAGACATGGGGACAAACAGATCCACAAGTTAGCTTTCCGACAGGCATAGATTCACAGTCATACAACAGAAAATGGACAGAAAACACATGGATCATGAAGTAGAGAATTCAGCTCTGGACTTGCTCTTGGTTAAATGACTCCAAGAGGGGTGCTTTTACTTCTCTCCTTAATGTGACAACAAAGCATTATTGGTGACTCACAATTAATCACTAATGTGTATAATCCATGCACTTTTTCTCCACAATATTTTACATCTCTTCGTCTCAACCCAACCATTCTCCTAGCTTACAAATATGCTCAATGCAAGTATTTTCTTGAAAGAAGCATTCCTCCTTTGTCCTGGATAATGCTTTAGTCTCCCGCAAGTATCTGCTGCTACCTTACCAACTTTTCTCCTTACCTAGGGATCCAGAGTAGTTCTATGTAGATCTATCTGCCTGTTAGATAGTCTCAACTTTCTGTACACGGTCATTCAAATTAAATTAGATCAAGTTCAACACAAACTTTTCATCTCTTCATAATAATGTGCTTTTTTTGCCTGAGCAACATAGCAAGACCCTGTCTCAAAGCATGAAAAAGATTAAGGCCTATATAATCATCCGAATATCCTGAGAGAGTAGGAATAAACAAGGTAGAAGAAATAAAGGGACAAGATTACCCTGCATCATAATT